GGAATGCAGCTTGTGGTTGCATTGGAAGAGATCTGCAGCCAGAGCCAATATTATCTTTTTTTTCTCCATCAGGCGAAGTGATGGTGCACAGCCGCAGCCTTCAAACCAGCATGGAGATTTTATGTGGAGTAACTGTTCTTCTTGGGTACGATTTAGTTGTGTGTGAAGTTTTTTCCAAGTTATCACACCACAATCACTGATGAAGTGCTAAGCAGGATTTGGCTGTGCTGAAGAATCGCACACTGAAGTGAAGTGGGCTCTCTGGAGCTAACTAATACCCCCAGCAAGAATCCATGTCTTAGTGCTGTGCGGGTTTCATGTTTTTCAAACCATAACTCAGGGATGTGAAGGAACACCACAAATAAAAACATGGAGTTCCTATCATTAAAATATTAGAAATATTTGCTAGCGAACTTTTGGGAACAAATTAGGTTACCTGTTGACCTCGCTAACCTGAAATGTTACGCTTGTACCTCCGAGGTATACTTCAGAAGAATCCTTTGGAACACCAGATTTGGCTTTGTGACATTTGGTACGGTGTTACGAAAAGGCCAAAGTTGAAAATGTTTCACCCAAGTCAGTCGTTACTGTAATGCCAGATCAGCAGACATCTCTGGTGATGGTACTCGTGTGTTTACAGCTCTGTAATGGAACCCAAATTGGTGTCACGCGTACAGCATTACGGATAACCAAGCTGCAACGAGGAGATGGCGCAGTTGATTCGCTGGTGAGAATGACTGACAGCAGCAAAGCTGTGCCTGCGCCTCTTCCTGACCGCCCACCCACCTGGGCAGTTCAGACCCTGAGCGGCAAAAAAAGTGAATGCGTTTTGATTCTTCTAGAAAATCGCAAGCTGTGCTTGCAGTCCTCAAGCAGCTTACTGTGCTTACCCCACGGTAACCTGTGCTGACGCATGAGGTGGAATCTGTATTTGAAGCAGAAGAAATAACACGTTCTTTGAGTATTTTGGTGTTTAAATTCAATACCAACTTGATACAGTCAGAAGAGTGTGGGGCTCAAAGCTGAAGGGTGGACAAGGTATATTGGTAGGAAAAAATACGTGCTTCCTAACACAAGGAAAACCATAGGCAGCTGTAAGATCTCACAAGAAAATTACTAGTTTTCTTCTGTTAATGCTTTAACTAATTTCAGTGTCTAGTTTTTTGGATCACAAGATGCATTACAAATTGTAGAAAAAGTGGTAACAATTTTGTTATAAAGTGTATTGTGTTCTGTCGTGGTACAGTAGATGGAGAAACCTATTTAAAGAAATGCTTTCCGAGAGGAAAGACAATCAGGTGTTTATCAGAATTTCCTATGAAGGTAATCTTCAACTCAAGGTGCCTTGTTCAGGAAGGGTAGTGTAGGATTTGTCCATCAAGCCATAAATCTAGGATTTCAATTTATCGTGTCTAGAAAACTGTTTATGTAAGGTTCCTAGTTAATGAATATTAAACAAACGCTGGACATAAACCAGATGTTCTTAACAGCAGGCAGCTTTCTTCAAACCACTTCAAACGATGTAGTCTTAAAGAGTACATTATATGCTGGGAATTGCTGTTTTAAAAGCAATTGAAAGCGATAGGAAACGTGCGCACACACAAAACGCTGTTGTTGTCAAAATGCATTCATTCACGCAGTTGGGATGACTGGCCCGTGAATGAAATGCTTGCCTTGAAGTTGTCCCCTCCTTCTAGCACGTCTGGTGAAGTTGCTGAAGATTGCACCCAGTGGTCAGACTGCAGAGATGTTAGGTGTTCCCTTGCCCTGGTTCCAAAGCCGAGTGGTTCATCACTGGTGTTGGTCTCACGGTTGTCTGCCTCAACCGCCTGGCTTAAACGCTGTCGTGGGACTTCCTACCAACACGCAGACACAAGGCAGAACTGGACACAGACACCTGCCAGCCTGCTTCTTTTCTAAAGGGCATTTTAAGAAGTTCTACAAGGCATACCGCTTTTTTTAAAAGATATAAGTATTTCCACTGTTTGTTTCTAGAAATGCTGTTTCTTATGGAAGTCATCTTCAGATAAAGGCACAGTCACACTCGTATGGCTGCTGAATAATACTTAGAAACTGTCCACTGATTCAGAGCTTTGAAAACTGACTTGTTGGAGACAGGAGCCCAATTCCACAATGGGAATGGACTTTGATTGTAGCACTGGGCTGTATGTTTTGGTCGACTGGAGTACTGAATTTGTGAGATTTCAACTTCACGTTGACAAAGGGGAATGGATGTGTGGGCAGATGGAGCGTGAAGATTTGGAACACCTTGGATTTAGGAGGTAGTTCACCTGTATGCACTGCAGGGTTGTAGAGCAGTTCATGTGGGCAAACAGCACGTTGGTGTGCAGTTGGAACTGTTGGTATTGAATTTGGTTACCATAGCCACAGTTCTTCATCTTCTCATCTTTCAGTGTTATGTTTTGGACTCGATGACATCAAAGGTCTTTTCCAACCTAAAGAGTTCTGTGTTTCTATGATCATCTGTTAGTGTTCTTGAAAATAATAGTGGTTTAGCTGCAGCTTCAGACCTGTCCTAATGATCTTTGTCTGAGAACTTCCACATAATTTCTGGTTTTTCTACCAACAGTTTACATTTCCTTAGAAATTCCTAGTCTGATGTTTTGGTGTGGGGTTTTTTTGTATCATGCATGAATCAGTTTGGTCAGGTTTATGTGTATGTGAGTATTATATATCTGTATGCACAGGTATATAAAGTGTTTCAGGAGTCGAACTCCACTCTCTTTCTCTCTCCAGGGCAACCATCTGGAATCACCGAGTCAGGTTTCTTGAAGACAGAGTCCTGAGGTCCTGGACATCATTCACCATTTGGAATGCTGGCAAGCAAGGCAAGAAACTCTACAGAAGCTTGTCACCAGCTAATCGGATAAAGGTGAGCTAGTGAGAGGGGGTGCCGTCTGTACAAAAAAGCTTTCTTCTCTTCCATGTGCCTCCTTGCTGCTTCTAACGCAGTCTAGCAGAATCATCGCAGGATATTGTGTGTCCAAAGTACTAAGTCATGATTAATAGAAACTGGGGAAATTCTCAATATTGTGCATAACGTATCTCATCTTTTAAAATGCCATATTACATACCTAGAGTGTCTGGTGTGCATGCAGTGCAACATGTGCACCCACACTCCTGCTTGCTGATGACTAAGCACAGTAGTAGGTCAGACACACTACGTAACTGTTTGTGGAACTAACCATGGAGTAGCCAGGTACCCAAGCTGGGTAGAATAACTCTCTGTTTGGACGGTAGAAGGCGGAACTGCCTTGTCCAGGATTATTCCTATTTGCCCAGTTCCTAAGTGGATACTGGACAGGTCCCTGTCAGTTGCTGATCAAGCTGGTTTGTATTATGAGGAGTAGTTGTACTTGAATTCCCTTTCGAAAACCTGGATTGTTTAAAAATAGAGATGGAATGTGGGGTGAACAGGTAAGAAGAGACAATTGTGGTTGACTATCTAAGTCAATTTACAGTCAGTTGAAAATGTGGAGGTTACTTATATTTGGCAATGGCAGATATTTCTCAGGAGGGATTTGTCTGAGAGTTTAAATACCTTAGTTTTATAGCATTTTATTTTGTGTTATAACTTTTTGTTAGATAAAGGCTTTAGAGCTGATGCTGAATGGCTGGTTTTTTATAAAAAGCCACAGGACATTCATTTTATTACTGAATGTGTTTTCTTTTCTTAAAAAGATGGATGGGAAGACAAAATGACAAATATATATATAAACCTGATTAATGTTGTGGCCCTCAGACCACACACATATGAAGAGAAAACAGAAGATATTTGTATACCCATAGCTGGAATTACTGAGGAGACACTCACACAGAAAATACTACAGCACAAGAATTGAACCTGGTGCCATCCCTCTTTCACAGCCATCACACGGGAGCGGGTGGACTGCACGGAGTAAGATTAAATACTCTGTGTTTCCTACCAGTTACCTCACTCAAAGAGGACAGAACCATCCACTGAATGTGCTGTGTTATCCTGGTCTTGCAGTGCAGCGTGCACGTGACTTTAGGGGGTTTTTGAACATGTTCTTTTTGTGTTAGTATTTTGCAGAGCATTTTGTGAATTCCACTAATTTACTAGCAGACTTTGCACTTTTCTGTTTACAAAATCGTGAGAATTAGAAAATAAGTCCAAGGGAAGAGATGGCAGCTTGTCTGGTAGGAAGTACTATGCAAGCAGGGATTTTTGAGATGCTGCGGAAAAAATAGACTCTGTTCTTGTTATAGCACTATCTCAAAAATCTTAGGTGTTGGATTTTTTGTTTGTTTGGAGGGGTTTTTTTGTTTGTTAGTTTTTTAGCTTTTTTTGTGCCAAGCCAAAATGGAGATTGAGATTAAGATAGAACTAGCTTTGGGTTACATCTGCACCTCCTTCTATGGGTGACTCATTCAGGATTCACATCCTGTTCAGCAAACACAGTGATAATTTGAAGATGTCACTGCAGAGGCAATAAAAAGAGCAAGAGATAAATTATATTGGTGGGGTTTTGCTGTTTTTCTGCCAACGAACCAAAACTTGCTGCCTCTTCAGTGAGGTAGAACCTTCATTCCCCAGAACGCTAGCGCTGACAGTGTGGTTCTCATTAACTGGATCTTGCCGTTCTTTCCAGCTGACCTTTCCATAACGTTTACTTTGGCAGTGCTGCAGGCCATGATGCTATTTTGCTTCTGTCAAGGTTACAACTGCACATATTCCAGTATGCTTTAGTTTGGTATTGAAATACTGGATTGAGCATTAACCCATTAATTATTGATAGGACACCAGACACATTCAGCAAGCTTACATGCCCGATGCAATCGCACGTGCCAACTATGACTCATTTTGCACATGTACTGCAGAAAACTGCTGCTAAAACGCAGTCACAGTCTGAGCCTTAATACTTTATATAGAGTAATCAAACTTTATCCACTGTCTGACATGTTATCTGAAGTATTCAGAGCTTTTCTCAATAACCAGTGGAGATGAGGCACTGGGACAGGTTGCCCAGAGAAGCTGTGGATGCCCCATCCCTGGAAGTGTCCAAGGCCAGACTGGATGAGGCTTGGAGCAACCTGGTCTAGTGGAAGGTGTCCCTGCCCATGGCAGGGGGGTTGGAACTGGATGATCTTTAAGGTCCCTTCCAACCCAAACCAGTCTGTGATTCTATAAACAGCTTCAGAAAGTGACTTGTATCAGAGTAGAGGCCTAGCTTTTAGATAGCTGATTTCTGATGAAATTAGTGTTATCTGTAGTGATTAAAGCACTGGGTTTATGTAGTTGTCCAAAAGTGAGATCTCAAGTCTATCCATCTCAGTCAGAACTGAAGCTTAAGTGATATCCTGATGTTTCACAGTAAGTCAGTGGCAGAAGGCTGTAGAAGTAGAGCAAACATCTCACTTCTGCATGTGCTAATCAAAGGGTTGTGCTGCTGGAGTTTCAGGAAATAAATCCATAAAATTTACAGTAGGTGATTCATGGCAGTTTTCCTTTTACTCTAAATGAGTAACAGTAAAAAGAGGCCAGTTAAACTCCCATGTTATACTTCTCAAAAATCCTTCAGGTATTTTGTGACTAATCTTCAACTCTTGCCAAAGACTCTCAAATCCCATATGAACAAAAGTTGTAAATAGTTGTTGCTTCATCCTTTCCAGCCCTAAAAACTATAAAATACTTTTCCTGTCTCACAACCCTTTAAAGACCACCTTAACAAGATTTAAGCTTTCAGATATTCTGTTAATTATGAGACCACTAGAGAATCAGTATAATTCCAAAGCTGCAAGTAGAATCTAGTGTTGCTTTCTAAGTGTAAAACCAAAATAACCCTATTACATACGGCTTATATTATTTTGTAATTATGAAAAAACTTGAAGTCTACTAAATCTTCAGGAAGATAATTAATTAGTTTGAACTGTCAAGCTTAGAGCATGTAACAAAACATCTTTTTCAAAAAAGAACATTTCTAGTATTTTTGGAACCTGATAAACAAAGCAGTTGTATTTCTTTCACTGACTGGGTTTTTGTGGGATGTTTGAAAAGTATAAAGATGTTGCAGGCCAAACAGCATCTTTTTTTAGAAACCAAAATTTTGGAAATTCCAGGAAGCAGCAGTCTTTGTATGTTCATAACCACTGACAGATTATTACTTTACTCTGTTGAGAAAACAGGCTGAATTTGAATTACTGCCATGTTAAAAGAGAAAAGGACACCTAAGCAATATTCCCTCTTTTCCTTCAGACATCTGTATGGTGAATATTAAAATAATGCTTTGTCTCCAGAGAGTTCAGGCAGAACTCCAAGGCTCAGTATTTTTGCTAAACAGCAACACAAGAAAAAAAAAATTATTCAACTAAAAGGGTTTTTTTATGAATTAATTACTGGGATCTCGGTATTCTTAGGGAAATTCTGTTTCCTGGCTGTCCCCGTCTTGATTCACGCAGTTGACAGTGGTTCAGTATTAGCATTTCTGCAAGAATGAAGTCGAACAGACCTTTTTTTGTTTAAAACACATCCGTCTTGTCTATAATTTGCAGCTGAAGATGGAAACCAAATGTTTTTGGGATGCTCCATATGCCCGGAGGGTTTCCGAGCTGTCTTGTCTGCTCTTTTATTGTCCGTCAAACTAGCTAAAAGGAGAAGTTCAGCATTAACATTTGGTGTCATTTCCGATAGCTGAAAATAGTGCTCAAGTAGCTAACAGAAGAGGGGAAAGGACGAAATAAGCACCAGCTAATTAGTGGCATGGAAACAGTGCGCAGCCAGCCCGTGAAGTTTCTCTATGACAACCCTGTTCGCCAGTGGTGAACTTGAAAGCTTCAAGGAAGTATTTTGTACACCCTTTATCATAGCTCATTAACCATTTAAAATCTTGTTAGCATCTCTTCACCGTTTTTCGGAGAGCAACATCACCACATCGTGTACTTAACTGTGATCCTCCAGCTCACTCGCAAAAGCAAGGAAGGTTTAAGTTTTGTAGCGTTGTAGCTACTCTGAAGTACACGAATGGCAGCACGAGAGACTGAAGTGGGGACATGTAAAAGCAAAGAAACAAACAAAGGGAAGAATATTGCACCCACCTTTGTGCAGAGGGAGGTAGAATGACAGCGTCAAAGCAAGGTAAAAGAGAGGCTACAGGACAGAGAGATGAAATTTGAAAGTTTCGGTTAAATCCAGGCATTAAGCAAGAGATGGGGTAAAACAGCAGCTTTATTTTGGACCGTAGAGATTACTTCATGCAGAAGCGTGGCAGGGAGTTCTCCCTGCTGCTTCCCTTCGGGACCCTTTTTGCATCACCAGTTTTGTCAGTACAGAGACACACACCTTCAGAAGTTACTGGCATAACAAATGTCGTTATCTGTTCCAGAGCAATGAGCTGAGCTGTGCAACTAGTTCCCACGCTGTTACGTATAACGGCAGTTGTACGTTGTATGCAATAAGGGAAATGTTGTATGTACGATATTCAGAAGCTCATTTTGCACGTTGGATTCTGGTATTAAAATTCTCTTGAGCAACCCTGTTACGAATATGTGTGAAGAGGGAAGATGCTGCTATCTTGAATGGAATAGTGTCTTTAAAGGGAGTCCTGAAGCGCATGTTTGGAATTTAAAGACACTCACAGCTTCTGTCATGGCTGTAATGCTAAAGAGGTGAAATAAAAGCAGCACCCTGATACTGAAAGTCACTCGCATCGTGACTGAGAGTTGCATGCTAGCTTCATGGTTCTGCTTGTGGCATACTGGAAGATGTTTATGCCTTTGCGTGCCTCTTGCTCTGTTTGTCATTAACTGTATCTATTTAAGCTTGCTTTAGAATGCTTTGTTTTGACATGAATGGCCTAAATTGACTTAACTTTTGCAGAGATGTATATTAATGTGCTTCCGAGGCTTTATACAAGTTTGAAT